GTATAAAAGGGCGCCGGTATAAAATGTCATGCGCTTCTTCATCTGAAGCTTGCTTACGAAGCATGGCAAGGGAACTAGAGGACGCAGTGTCTCGTTCCCTTCTCAGGAAACCATGGTTACATACCATGTAACCGGAGACGTTCCCTTCCGAGGGAATTTCGAACTGCGTCCTCTAGGGGCCGCTATGGGGAACAGTATACCCATGCCGCCATGCTGAGGGGAGTGCATGCCAGAAACCACAGCGAGCACTAAGTACCAACTCTACCATAGCCATGGGAGTTGCCCCTAGGATGCCTTGATGGCTGTCAGTGACATTATCCCCTTCGGCCAAGAGCCTGAGCTGCATACCCTGAACAACTTACTTGTTAAAGGCTGGGCTGGAAGCCCGAGCCTAGGGCAGAGCTAAAGGCTTGGAATCAGAGGAAAGAGATTCCTTCAAGTGGATACGGCCAGGTGTCTAAAAACCAACCAGACCCTGGCCTGTCACCCACGGGGCTACCGCCAGACCTGAATGAGCTTGCTCAAAGAACTGGCTTGACAGATCTTTGGAAGCAACACCCTGCCCAGAAATGTATCAACAGGGATACATAAGTTGAGTGGAGCCCAAGGTGAGAACCGGGGCCTAAACCAACTCAGAGAAAGGGAACGAGGCTGACAGTGCGTAACCCTTACCATACAGGATTTTAGAAAGTGCACAGAATGCTTAAACCTCTCAGGTGAGGGGAGCACTGCTAGGCTTGACCAAATAGGGGCAACTAATCAGGGAGGCAGCAAGCGGCCAAACTATCTGATGTCGCTGTCACAGAGCTCAAAGAGTGGAGGGCTCGACTTAACTAAAAGAGAGGAACCCAGCTCGACCGAAGCGATCAATAGCCCAGGGGCAAAGTACCTAGCTCTCAAGTAGAGAGAAGGACTCACATAATCTGCCCAGGACCAGCGAGCTCATAAAAGACCCTCCCGCAGTGAGGGGAGCACAGCCATGTCCGGGGAGCAGATTGACCACAAATGGGACATCAGAAATGGGATCCAGCTTAAAAGGGGATCGCGCATTTCAACAGGGAACAACAGGGTCCCAGCATAGAGGCAACTGACCAAGGAGGCGACAGGGACGGGCCAAACAACTCAGTATTGTTGCATATGGAGTTCTCGTGAGCAGCGCTCTCTGCTCTCAAGCTGAGACGGGCCCTCAAAGCACAAACTGGGAACGATAGGCTCATAGCTAACCCTCGCAGTGAAGGGAGCATTCCTCAGCTCGACCAGAAGACAGCGCTAGATTAGAGGGGCAGTCTGGCAGGGCCCAATGAGAGACCATCAACTGATGCAGCTGAACACAATCTTATGCTCTCTATCTCGATAAAGAGCATGGGTCCCATTTAACCAGACCAGAAGAGAACCTGTAGAAACTACAGGACCCAATAACCCATTCATGCATGAAGAGCTACTGCTCCTCAGAGGAACGGTTTCCGCAGAAACACATCTCACTCATACCTCAGGGAACGCAGTGTACTCAAGCCCACTCCGCAGAGGGGCGATTCACCGGTTCGACCATAAGGGCAGTGTGACAGGGAGGTCCCGTGGACCTGACCGTCTATCGAACTGCAGAGTGGAACTAAGGAGTGTTAGGCCACTCAACGCCTCAGCGAGAGGAGCTCTAGTTCAGAGAACATGCAGGATGGTTGAGAGGATGACTTAAATCTCAGGAGACCCCTCGGGGCAAGACATGAGTAGCGTGTCCTGGCCGGGGCAGCTTCTAGAACATGCATGATGGTTGAGAGGATGACTTAAATCTCAGGAGACCCCTCGGGGCAAGACATGAGTAGCGTGTCCTGGCCGGGGCAGCTTCTCGAAGCAAACACCCAGCCAGGACATCAGGGAGCACATCACGAAGCATTATACTCCGAAAAATGCTCAACCTGAATGGGAGGACCGCAGGTCCTGAGGTTGCAGCGTTATACTGCGGACCTGATCGGCTAAAGAGGCTCTCGCAGAGGCCCAGCGACTTGGCTGCGTGGTCGAGTAAGCATGAAGCTGAAGATGCAGGGCAATCATCCAGTTTGGATCCAGTACTGACGGGTGACGTGAATCGCGGGCAATGGCCAGACAATTCTCACCGCAACAGCAACACACAGCATGCATTCAGCTCCCGCGAGCTAAACACACTTCACCCACGCGCTAGATTACCTCGGAAATCAAGCGAGAATGGAAACCGCTGCCGCGAATGCGTCGCTATTCCCGCGAGAGGCGAACGCACTCATGCAAACGCTATACAAACTCGGGTAAATGGTGAAGTACTCACCTCCCCCTCAGTAGTCCTGCGAATGCCCTAACGGTCCAAGCCGTCTCCTCGTGAGTCGAGCGCGTTCAATTCATGCTTATCCCTCACAAGAAATAAGCAGTGAATGCAGAGCGCATTCAACTCCCTCGAGAGCTGAACGCGCATGCTCTTCACCACACACACACAACACGTGAGCCGTTGTGAAACTGCGGGTATCAGAGCAAAGCCTCTGGCGAGAGAACATGCACTCCTAGTCGTGCTTAGCTTATCGCTAACATAAACAAACGGTCAGTGAAGACGAAGAAGAGGATGACGTGTTTTCCCAGCGCCCTTTCATACTGTGATCGCGCTGGGTAATGATGTCATAGGCTGTCGCCGGCCAATGCTATTGTCGTGTTTAGATGTATGCTTCAGACACCGGTCACGCTGAAGGCATTCGCCATAGCGACCTCTAGAGGACGCAGTTCGAAGTTCCCTCGGAAGGGAACATCCAGTTATCCAATTATAGACCTAGCACTACAGGAGTAATACAAGTAATATACTACAAATATACTGTTTTGCCAATTTTGCAATAAATGCAATTCAGAAAAAAAAGTATTTATAAATTGTGGGTTCAGTACACTACAAACATATTAATTTGCCAATATTTGGTCATCATTATTTATTTATTTATTTATTGTTTGTTTGTGGGTTCAGTACCCTGCAAATATATCGTTGATTTGCCAATATTCAGTCATCATTATTTATTTATTTACTACATTGTGGGCTCAGAACAAACATACTGTTAATTTGCTAATATTTAGTCATTATTATTATTATTATTATTATTATTACTACTACTACTACTACTACTAAATTATGGGATCAGTACTCTACAAACTAATTTTTTATGCAATAAATGCAATTCAGACACATGTCAGATTGATTTCCATTATGAATCTTCCTATAAATACTTTCAATTCTACTAAACAAACATAATGTCGATGTTCAGTTTTCCACAGTGTTGTTTGTTTGTGTCTCTGGCAGGGATCTGATCAAGGTGCTGAAGTGGTATGTGGATCGTATTATTGAAGCGGATCGTCAGGAACACATCCAACAGGTGCTGAAGGTGAGATGCTTCACACTACACGTATTTTCTCGGTCTCACAAATAATTTTTACACATTCTGCCCTTCATAATGATATTTAGAGTCTGTCATTACTGTCCTCCATCTTCTGATTTTCTACAGCCACAAATACAAATACAATTGATATGTGTAATGTACTGAATATTCAATTTCTTAGGAATGGTTCGCTGCGGGCCGTTATGACTTCGACATCGCATTAGTTCACACAGCCCATGCATTCTTAATTAGGCAGCTTTTATGTTGCTTTCTGTGCTCAGATCTGCTATTCTGTTGGTTTCCTAGGCGACGGAGTATATTTTTAAGTATATTATCCAGTCACGACGGCTGTTTGCGCTGGCCACGGGCGGACAGAACGAGGAGGAGTTCCGCTGCTGTATGCACGAGCTTTTCATGTCCCTCCGCTTCTTCCTCTCGCAGGAGAACAAGGGCTCACGGCCCATCACACAGACACAGGTGAGAGACACACAGTTCTGTTTATGTTGGAAAACTCCTAATATTGTATAGTTAACACATGGAATGAGCATCTCTAGTGGGTGAAAAAGGTTCGAGTTTAGCATGCAACATTCCTCTTTCTTTTCTTCCACCACTAGTTTTAAATACAAATTAATTGAATACAATTATTTTATTATATAATTATTTAACTACAAATAATATTTTTTAAATCTATTTTTATTAAATTAATACAAAATAAAATGTATTAATAGATTTAATAAAATAAATACAATAAAAATTATTTAAAAAATAATTTAACAAATAAAAATACAATTAAATTCTACTGTTGATAGAGAGTTTTTTTTCATATTCTTGTATAATTAAAAATTATTTCTGGTTTACAATTTTGGGCTATGATGTTGTTAACCCAATAATAATAATAATAATAAATTATTGTTGTTGTTATTGTTGTTATTAATATTATAAAAAATATTTTTAATAATTATTATTACGATTTTGTTATTATATATTTTATAATAAACTTTATAAGTAATATTGTTGTTATCTGGTGACAGTTTTTTTAATATTATTTTATTATTTCTGTTTACAATTCTGTGCTGTGCTGTTAATAATAATAATAATAATAATAATAATTATTATTATTATTATTATTATTACTTTTAAATTTTATTATATAAACTTATATAAACAGTATATAAACTAAAGATGAATTTACCTTATGGAGCATTATTCTGATTAATAGAGACAATGATTTTAGTCTCAGGCCTGAAGTGTCCTCTGAAACCATGGGACGTCTGCTGAGGCAAATCTGCTGTATTAAGCATTTATTTGCCAGAGAAATGTCCTTAATTTTGACTGACATTTTGCCCTTGAGAGATAGGATCATTTATGTTTTATGGAGAGAATGACGTACAAAGGCAGTTTTCGGTGCACTCCCTAAAATTCAGGCAAAGCATTTGAAGTCTCCCGCAAATCTTTCCGACTTCCCTGAGCTGAATGCAAGAGCGTCTTCTATTCTCCTTCGCTCGGGTGCCCATCGCATTGGCTTTTGTTCGAGCCTTGGTCTGAGTTTGTTTTGATGTTCTGCCGTGTTCTACAAAGAGTCTCAGAGTGCCCATGTGCCCCATTTGAAAGAGAAAGACGAATACTTCCAAAGAAGGAATTGCTTTGGGTTTTAATGAGAGAAAGAAACATTGTAAATTAACACGAAGGATAAGGATGAAAAGAATGAAGTAAGATGAAAAAAAGTGAGATGATGGCGCAACAAGATTACAAGAAGCTCTAGGGAAGACTTGAGATAATAGGGAAGTGAGAAAAACAGACAGAATCACATTTCAGTATTGTTTTAGAGTTTGATTCAACACTTGGGAAAAATCACTACTTATTAAATATCACAAACAGACTTTTCGATTTTTTACTTTTATTAAAAATAAGAAAAAAGTTTTTTCTGTATTCTAATTGTATTTTACAATTGTATTATATATTATTTTATTAACATTTCTGAGATTATTTAAGAGTTTATTTGACAGATGTAAAAAAAGTTTATTTCATTTGTACACACAATTTAGGGGTGGTTTTATCTGAAATAGTTGATGTTACAAAAATAAACAGAAGTGTCAGTCCGCAACCACCAAATAAATTGGTGTTAATATGTATGAGCAGAAGTTTTATTCTTCTAAAAATAATAAGTGCTGACTTTTTCACACATGTAACCAAAAACCAACATGTAATTTACAGTTCTGCTCATAAATATCTAGTTTACTTTCTACTAGATACTTTAACATTTCAGTATACTTATGCTAATTTAGGCTAAATATATGTTAGTATTTATTTTAGAGTTTTATATCACTAATCACACAAGGTTTGGCAGATCTAGAGATGGATTTTCTTCAGAAGTGCTTATTGAACAATTGTGGTACCTTGCAAACACAATTTTTCTTTTTTTTTTTTTTCTGGGTGAACTTCAACTGAATTTTAGCCATTAGTGTGCAGTATGCTTAAGGTGGTCAGTGGACAGACGGTGGTCTGAGACTGAGACTAGTGTCATTTAACACTTCAAGTTGGATTGTCTCAAGCATGAATAGAGTTAGTACATCCCAATAGGGTATAGTTGTGCGGTATATCTGTAGATGTATATTCACCTCAGATGATTTATTAGCCCTGTGTTGGGCTGAGTGCTGTTTGAGCGTTTTAATCTTCATAGAGAGCAGACCATCCATTAAGACAAAAGAAGTACAATTTAGTGTGATCAACTAATTCAAAAAGTTGCATAGTTATCATTCATGATGGTACTAAATAAAAAAATAGCAGCTTTTATTTGTTAAAATGATTAACATCTTGCATATTCTGCAAGAGATATATAAACTGTATATTAACAGTTTCATGACAATGTTATGTTTATCTGCAAACTTACATTATATTAATTTAAATGTATTTTATTTTTTTTGTATTTTGCACATTGTCACCATTATTTAATTGCATTAATTTTTTTCTCGCTGGTAGTTTTTAGGTTGTTTCGTAATGTAGTGTGCATTAAAATTACTGTTTTTTAATTTTTACTTACTTTGTTTATTTTTCCATGTAATCAGCGTGAATGAGATTGTTTCTTGACTTGATTGTTTGTCACCTGACTCCACAGGCAGTGTTTCTGCAGTCGTTCCCGGCTGTGTACGGGGAGTTGCTGAAGCTCTTTACGGTCAGGGAAGTGGCCACGTTTGTACGGGAGACCTTGGGCAGCCTCCCCACCGTGTCCCAAGCCGACTGCCCCCTGGAGGCCGTCAAACTGCACTGCATCGCCAAAACCGTAGAGAGCCAGCTCTACACCAACCCTGGTAAACACATGCTCACTGAGGATGAAGATGAAGATGGTTAGAGGCAGTCTGCTCAATGTTTGTGTGTGTTTTTATCAGAGTCTAGATGTATCCTGCTCCCGGTGGTGCTGCATTTGCTCCAGGCTCACATGCAGGAGCAGCGAGATCTCGTCATGTGCGCTCACATACTCACCTGCATGCTGTCTCTCCTCAAGAAAGACGACAAGGTAAGATAACCCTCACACAATTATAGGACAACACTTTGGACAACAAGCAGACTTGGTCTAAGCAAACAGAGCCAATCTCAAAAGAGATCGCTAAACTCCAACGTACATGTTTGCTGGCATTTTCAGCTCATCAGCGCTTTTTCTGTTACATAGAGAGTGTGTGTGGTTGCCAGGTTGGGAGCATTAAGTAAATCTCTGGCCAGAAAATGTATCAATTTAAATGAAAATCTCTGATTTTGGGGGATCTAAACTGTTGACATCTGGCAACCGCAGTCATGAAAGTTTGTGAAGGCTTGTTGCCAATGCAAAATAATGCAAATTCCAAATTAAAATGAAATGTTTTCAGGACAAATAACTAGCAGGCAAATATTATGGAAGACCATATCCACCACTGAAAAAAAATATGTACATGTATATATGTATGTTTTAATATGCTGAAAGATTTTTTTCCTCATTAAGTCATATATTTAAGGGCAGTTAAAGAAGAGGGTTATAACACACTCGTAGCATAATAAAAGATTAAAAAACACTCTGAGAAGTTGGGTCTTTAAAATTATCACTCTAAATGCACTGCTTTTATTCAAATCCTTTGCCTTCAACATAGCTTTTCAAGTCTGTCAGACTTTAAATTTCCTGCTTTCAGCAATCTTCCGTTTATGCATAATCCATAGGTCTCCATTTGTTATGAAAGTTTTGTGCTGTAAAAGAGTATTTAGCTTATTTATTTGTCAAATATCTGCCATTCCCAAGAGTATGAAACACGTTTTTTAAAACGTGGCCTTAAATCCGCATAATTATGCAAGGCTCCCTGAAGACCTACTTATCGTTCATGCAACCCAGAAGCTTTGTTGAATTAGTGTTTTTGCACATCCCCTATTCGTGTTAACTTCTGCTTTGAAGACGACCACAGGAAACTTGTCTTGAAAATGCTGAGGCTGCTATAAATGTAGACATCCTCTCTGACCTTCAAGTCAAATGGCGGGTCTCACGCACAGAGAAGGACCGATGTGCATCAGACGCACTGGTTTCTTCCTGCACTTGCATAAACTGAAATGACAGCTGAACCTTTCATGGCTGTCTCACCCTTTTTGCAATTAGCACCCTGTCAGACAGTGTGCATAACATCACCGTTGACCTCTTGCAAGGGCAAACATACAGTATATGTGTGTCTGTGTGTGTGTGGGCAGGAGCCAGACGTATCCGAAGAGGTGGATCTGATCGTGGAGAGTGTTTTGAGTGTCTTACTGCGGACCATATTGGAAATCGCTAACCGGCCACAACCAGCAGGGCCTACGCTACGGCCCCAAGTTCAAGACGTTACGGTAAGAAAACCAAATAAGGAAGCAAGCTTTATAGAGAATAGGCAAGAGGGAATTTTAAAAAGTGAAACATGCGAGAAAGCATCAGATACAGGCCCTGAGGGCGAGGTAATTACAGCCCAGCAGTCAAAGTGCTTTACACATCAAAGTCTCTCCACACAAGCAGCAGGTGAATTCTGGCAGCATTCCTGCTAGATGTGACGTATTCCCCAGCGCCCGAAGGTTTTTGTGAATGCAAACCTCGCCATACCTCATTTCAACTCCAATTTATTGATCCGTATTCAACACAGACTGAGATTTATCAAGGCTTTTATGGGGCGGTTCAGTATGGGAATGAAATAATCTGTGATGTGTTTTTTTTCTTTTCTTTTGGATGCAGGTGTTTTGCAAATGAGTTTACATGGCCAATGTATAGCTAGACCTACATGAAATCTGCTGACTTTTTGATGTTTTTGTGGGACTGTGGGAGAATATATGCAGAAATCTGCTGAATATAAAAAATATTTTGAAGAAAAAAAGAAAAAAACTATGTATGTATATATATGCGTGCGTGTGTGCGTGCGTGCGTGCATGCGTGTGTGTGTGTGTATACACAGTATATATGTGTGTATATATTTGTATCTACACTACTGTTCAAAACTTGTCAGTAAATATTATTATTTATTTATCTGTATTCTATTTAATTTTTTGTTGTTGTTGAAGAGATTAATGCTTTTATTTAGCATGGAAACATTAAATTGATCAAATGTGTAATAAAGATATTTTAAAATGTTACAATGTTTTTTCCCAAATATGCTATTCTTTTGAACTTTCTATTCATCAAAGAATATTGTGAAGCAAAATAGTAATAGTAAATAGTAATAATAATATTACATTTTTTTACAGTATAAAAAGTACAAATAAAATCATATATGAGGCAAAGACGTTAAGATGTCCGCATCAAAAGAAATTTACAAAAGTGATTTTATGTCCATAGAAAAGACATTAAATGCAAGTAAAGTGTCGGTTTCAAATACGTTTTTGAAGAATAAAATGTCAAAATTTGGTTGAAATAATGTTCCATTGTCATTCAGTGTAACACTTATAGTTATATAAAATTCAAACAGCATGCTTATTCTGACCTGTACATATTAAAATATATAAAAGAATAAGTGAGCATATTAAATTTTATTGGGTTTTAAATTAGTAAAAAATTCTTACTGACAAATGGGCAAAACCTAGGATAGTGGCAAATTAAAAAAATTTAAAATAACAACTAATTAGTATTTGGGGTGAAAGTAATGTGTGTGTGTGTGTGTGTGATTTAAATATTAACATAGCATGTTTAGATGAAAGGGTTCAAATTAGTCAAAATTATTATATTTTTACCCATTATTTATGCATTTATTCAAAGCATTTTCATAAGGCTATTAAATATAAATTTAATATATTAAATATAATGGCTTGAAGTTATACAGAGCATGTTTAGTAGAAAGTGTTCAAATCAGTCAAAATTATTCAAATTTTCTCCATTATTTGTGCATTTTTTTCTAAACTTTTTCAAAATGCAGTTAAAGTTACATTTTTCAAAATCACATTACACAGTGGATTTGATTCTCCTGTAGAAATACGGCAAGTTTTTTTTTTTTTTTCTCAAGAGTATCCTGTTGAATGTGTGTGTTTCAGGGGGCAAAAACAAACGTTTTGCGTTTATAATTTTGTTCAGTATATATATATTTGTTTTGTTTTGTTTCAGTGTAGTTTTAGTTTTTATGTGTATTTATTTTTTTATTTTCAGTGTCACATGATCCTTCAGAAATCATTCTAATATATTTATTTGCTGCCCAAGAAACACTTCTGATTATAATCAGTTGAAAATATTTGAAGCATCCAGTTTAGTGTCTGAAAACTGCTTCATATTTTTGTGGAAACGGGATTCTTTGATGAATAGAATATTGAAAAGAAAAGCTTTTTTTTTCAACATTGATAAGAAGAAGAAATGTTTCTGTCTTGGATATCTTGAGTGTTTACATTATTCAGGACATCAGTCTACAAATGTCTCAATCATATTTTGAACAACTGGCATAAGAGGATGTATTTTAACCGTATTTTGCATTAATTTGTGTTCAGGTACGGAGACATGCGTGTCATGATGGGATGTGAGATCTTTAGCATGTGGCAGAATTTAGGTAAGACGTTACCTAATATCAAAAAGCTTCACTCTTTCTCTAGTCTTATTTACATGAGAGATGAAAGTTTCCATCTTGTCGTGCAGGAGAGCACAAGCTGAACTTCATCCCAGCGATGATCGGCCCGTTCCTGGAGGTGACGCTGGTGCCTCAGCCGGACCTGAGGAACGTGATGATCCCCATCTTTCACGACATGATGGACTGGGAGCAGCGCCGGAGCGGAAACTTCAAACAGGTCACACAGCGCCCCCTTCTGGTCACTAATGGGACATGCCGCTATCGGTCTAGTGCATAATGCCACATTTGCCATATTTTCATTATTTGTAATAGGTGGAGGCAAAACTAATTGACAAGCTGGACAGCCTCATGTCAGAGGGCAAAGGAGACGAAACATACAGAGAGCTCTTCAACAGCATGTGAGTGAGAGACACATACACAAACAGCTATACAAACACATACTGCGAGCCCTTAGTGGGCTGGATTTGGTTTAGAGAGCAGTGGTTAGATTAGCATAAAGCAATGAGACGGTAAGTAGTGGCAGGTCAGTTCTCATACATCTGTGGCTCAGTCTCTGATTGTGTTTGTGTGTGACTGTGTCTGTCAGTGCTGTGAAAAATTGTTTGATTCCCATCTGAATTTCAATTACTGCACATTTTTAACATTTTATGAGGTCAGATTTGAATGTGGATTATGGTAGAAGTAGTAAAAAGGACACCCAAGTTTGGTGCTTTTTTTTAAATTGGTGTTTAAAATTGCAATTATGCAATCTTCCAGTCTATAATAAATGCATGAACGATGTATCTTTTGTTTTTGTTCATGAAGGGTCACTGTTATGCGTACCCTGATATTTAGTGTAAAAATATAAAAAGAAAGCTGAAAATCAAACTTTTTTCACAGCTCTTAAATCTCTTTGTGACTGTATATTTCTCTGTATATTCTCTATACAAGTCGAATTTCAAGCTTTCTGGGGGTTTTATTTTTCTTGAAGCTGTCAAAGTTAAAACATATCAACATAACACATCAGTAGACCTAATGTGGATTATAATTTACTGCTTTTACAGTATGTTTAAAGATTACATGCATAGTATTAATCAGAATTTTTTTTCCTGTAAGTATTCGTTAGCCTCAACTGTAGTCTGTTTAGTTTCCAAGCTACATAGCAGGTCTATATACAGTATAAACATATATAAAATAATATATTAAAGTGAATATTAATGCTTTTTTAGATATTGTGAGTAAATATATATAGCAGATATTAATGCTGTTTTATATATTGAGTGAATAAATATATAGTAAAGTAATACATATTTATTATATATAAAAATATGTATTCGCTGTTTTACAGTCCGTTTCATAATACATTTATTTTTTTGTTACCAAGAAATGTCTTTTTGAGGCCCATTTTATACACTCTACAGCAAGATATATAAATGTTAATTTCAATTGATGATAATTTGATTGATTTTAGGCTTTTGCTGTGGCAGGTGATTTTATTAATTAACTTGTGCATCTCTCTTCATTTTTCTGCCTTTCATTGTACTAACCGGACTAACTGTACTAACTGAGTTTGAGTGGCTGTTGTTGGCATTTAATCTATTAATATGAATTTGTTTTGTTTATGCTGCTCTGGACTAGAATTCCTCTGTTCGGTCCGTATCCTAGGTAAGAACTGTTCTGCTGGACAGCTGTGTGCGAGTGTGCAGGGCATGATGGGTCATATGGTGGACAGCAGTATGACTCCTCCTCTGCTGTGCTTGTTTTGTCTTGTCAGTCTGTTGAAGAAGATCGAGAGAGAGACGTGGAGAGAGAGCGGGATATCCCTCATAGCCACGGTCACACGGCTTATGGAGCGACTGCTGGATTACAGGTGAAATATACACAGCTGTACAGATATGCACACAATACAAATACAAAATACGTCATTTATCATTTTTGTAATTGAAAAACGTCTGTTCAAAGGTTTGGATTCAGTACTTTTTTTTTTTTTTTAAGAAAATAATACGTTTATTCATCAAGGATAGATTAAACTGAATAAAAGTGAAAGTAAAAAAAATTAAGAAGAAATATTCCTTTGAGCAACAATTCAGCATATTAGAATGATTTCTGAAGGGTCATGTGACACTGAAGACTGGAGTAATGATGCTGAAAATTAAGCTTTGATCACTGGAATAAATTTCATTTTAAAATAGATTAAAATAGAAAACTGTTATTTTAAATTGTAATAATATTTTACAATATTGCTGTCTCTACTGTATTTTTTTATTTAAATGCAGCCTTGTTGAGCAGAAGTCTTCTTTCCTAAATATTAAAAATCTTAAATAATCAAAATTTTTGACCCTCAGTATATGCAGTATATATATATATATATATGTGTATATACTGTATATATATATATATATATATATACATACATATA